AGCCGGGCCGGCTGACCGCGCCCCCTGCGCCAGGCGGTGTACCGGTTTCCCGGCCGGGTGTGGCACCTGGAGTTCCTGGCCCCGCGCAGGGCCCTGTACGTGCTGTGCGCCTGGAAGGGCCTGTACTGCTTGTCGTTGGACCACCCGAGCAGGTGAGCCGCCCTCCCGCCTCCCGGCCCGGGTCCCCTGGGTTGGTTCTCAGCAAGCAGCTCAGCCATCCTTGCGTTTGCGGGTGGCGAGCCCGGGCGGGGCTCCCGGGTCTCCCGAAGGCACCTGCACCGGCCCCAGCCCACAGGCAGCCCTGGTGACTGGGTTGGGTCTGGGGACTGCAGCCCGCCTAGGGAGACATAGCTTGAGGTGGGTGTCTGAAAGGGAGGAGAGTCAGGCCAGGAGCCTCCAGTCTGATTCAGAGGGGACTTCTGGGTCGGGAGGACAGGCCTGGGCATTGAGGAGCTCTGGCTGTGACCTGCGGCCCCTTCCCAGACGGCCCGGAGCTGGGTCGGGTGGCTCTGCCCTCACGGCCCTCGCCTGTGCAGACGCTGCTTTTGGAGACAGAGCTTCTTCCCATCGAGTGCCCTTCGGGGTCCGTGCTGCACAGTCCCCGGGGCGGGTGGGAGGTGGAGTGGGGTCAGGCTGCCGAGGGCTGTGGCCATGCCTGTGCTCAGACTGCTCCCTGTGAAGGCCCCGGTGCACTCGCCCCACTGGCAGGTCACCATGCGGCCAATCCTGACCGACAGTTCCCTTGCTCCCAAAGGCCAGCGAGCCAGGATGACGGGGAGAGCGAGGACGGCGAGCCCCCCTCCCCCGTGGTCCCTGTGGACCCAGATGCCTGCGTCCTCCTTGACGCCTCACTGTGCGCTTTCACCCTGCTGGACAATGTGCTGGTCACCTTGGTGCAGGGCCCCGCCCAGTGGAAGATGCAGTTGTTTGACCGGCCCTGTCCTGGGGAGGACCCCCGGCCGGGAGACCAGATTGGCGAGGTGACCTTGTCCGCCTGCACACCTGTGGCCGGAGTCCCAGGGAATCCCACATCTCCCCCCTTCCTTCCAGTGCTGTGCTGTGTGTTGCCACCAGGCACCAGGGTGACTCACAGCCACACCTGGGGCCACGGGAGCTTTGTGTTGGATGAGGCTCTCTTTGGGCTACTCTTTGGAGCCGACGCCACCCTCCTGGAGTCTCCTGTGATTCTCTGCGGTCTCCCTGACGGCCAGCTCTGCTGTGTGGTTCTGAAGGCCCTGGTCCTGCCCAGGTCAGTCCCCAGTGACCCAGCAGCCCTGGTTCAGATCCTGCACCACCTGGAGGAGCCTGTCGTCTTCATAGGGGCTGTGAGGACAGAGCCGTGGGCCGGTGAGGCCATGGGGGAGACGCTGTCCACGGTGCACGCGGACTGCCTGGTGGCCCTGGGTCACCACGGCCGAACGCTGGCCATCAAGGCCAGCTGGGGCGAGTCTGGGAACCCAGTGCCAGAGCTGCGGGAGTACCATCTCGTGGAGCCCGTGCTGTGCGCAGCGTGTGGCGGGGGCGGCCATGTGTACTATAGCACCCCCACGGACCTCTGCGTGGTGGACCTGTCTTGGGGAGGCAGCCCTGCAGACCCTGAGGAGCCCAGTGGAGGCCCAGGCACCCTGCCCGCCCTGCTGTGCCCGGCCAGCTTGAGCATCTGCAGCGCCGTTGCGCTCTCTGTGGCGCCCGGGGAAGCTAAAGGTACGAGAGCCGAGCTGCCTGACCCCTGCTCCCAGCTGGCCTCTGTCCTCCCATAAGCTGGCAGGTGCAGGCCTATCCCCCAGCAGGCTGTGTGGCTGTCTCGTTTCTCATTTCGGGTCGAGGAGTGGCTGGTTGTGTGCCGTGTGGCACTGTGGGGCCTCCCCCGGGCAGGGCCCGCTCTCAGCTAGTCTCAGACTCAGACGCCCAGTGCGAGAGCATCTGCTCGGTGGGTCATGCCTGGTGGTTGGGTCAAGCCTGAATGCGCCTGCTGAGGGCCAGAGGTGCCTGCTCACAGCCGGCTTGGGAGCCCGCTGCGGACCAGAGCTGGCGTGTTGGAGTGCTATTTGAACATAGTTTGGAGAGGTTGTGCCGGCCCTGGGGTCAGACTGCCCCCTGTGCAGCCCGAGAGGGTTTTGGGAGAGGGTCTTGGCCGCAATCAGGGTGGATGGAGCGAGGAAGCAGAAATGCTCAAACGCTAGGGCGCCCTCTGCTGGGGCTGCCTGTGAGCACACTGCCGAGTCCTGCCGGGACACACCAGGTCAAGAAGGTGATCTGAGGAGGGGTGGGGCTGGTGGCTGCACACCGGCCACCGAGCTTGGCTTCTCGTCCTCCGTGGCCACATCACGGGGTGGAAGATATGCAGGCCATTCTTGTCCCCAGCAGTCCATCAGAGGAGATAGGAGAAGCCAGAGTTGGCAGCTTCCAGAGAGAGCCCCAGCAGGTCGAGCACGGGGCGAGCGGGCTCCAGGGGCTCGGAGGCACAGTGTCTCGAAGAGCCCGAGCAGCCAGCCCCATGGAGGCCCAGTGCACCTGGCAGCTCTGGCAGCACACACTGGCCTTGCTTGGTCCTTCCCGCTCTGTCCACACGTGAACCCAGACCACCACCCTGGGCGCTGCCCTGGCATCCTCTTCGAGGAGGCTTTCAGGACAAGTGCGGAAGGTCTCTGCAGGGGCTGCTCCAGGGTGTGTCCTGGAGCCCCAGGAAAACACCAGAGTGTCACAGCCGCCCACCCTTCCTGTCCCGCTGACTGGGCCACATGTGTCCACATCCAGGTAGTGCCAAGCTCTTCGCCCTGTCTGCCAAGGGCCGCCTGATGAGGTGCAGCCTGGACTCGACCTCTGAGCTGCCTGGCTCTGCCAGGGCGACCCCGGAGAGCACAGGCAGGAGGGTCAAGGAGCTGCTGTCTGGGATCGGCGCTGTCTCTGAGAGGTGAGCGTGAGCGCTGTCCAGGAGAGCCCCGCGTTCTCGCGGGGAGTCTGCTGGGTGTGGCTCTGCCTCTGCTCCTACTGAGAGCCCAGGCGTTTTGGTGCCGGGTGAAAGGCCATCAAACCTGGCTGCCCCTGAAAGCCAGAGGGCCCTCCTGGTGCAGGAGGAGCTTCTGGTGCTGACTCCCACCTTCCCCGTGAGCTGCCTCGGGGTCAGCCCACGGGACTCCTGGAGAGAAGGTGCCCCAGAGTGGACATGGGCTCCTGAGGTCCTGAGAGTAAGAGTCCTGCAGGTTCCGGGGCACCGCGGCTCAGGGCTGTCCCGCAGAGAAGGGTGCTCAGGACGTCCTGTGCAGAGGGTGGGTTAACCCCGGCCACCACAGCCCTGTGTCTTGTCCTCCCCTTGCAGCCTAGAGAGGGTGGGGCAGGTGCAGCAGCAGCAGCTTTGAGAGAGGTGGGTGTGAGTAGGCAGGGTGCTCCCGGGCGGGGCTTGCCCCTTAGATGGAGCCCTCCGCCAGTGACCCGCAGCCGGCAGGCCTCAACTGCCCCTCCCGGAGTCCTGCCTGTCTTTGTAGGGTGTCTTTCCTGAAGAGAGCAGTCGACCAGCGGAACCAGGCCCTGGCGAGCCTCAACGAGGCCATGAACGTAAGCTGCGCGCTGCTGTCCAGCCGGGGGGGCCCCCGACCCATCTCGTGCACCATCACCGCCGCCTGGGGCCGTCCCTCGCTGCGCGACGTGCTGACGGCCACCTGTCTGCTGGAGAGCAGCGGCGGCTTCCAGCTGGGCCACGGCTGGGCCCTGTGCGTGCAGGTGCTCAGCTGCTCCCGGGCCCTGGACCTGGACGCGGCTGGCTCGGCTGTCACCTACACCATCCCTGTGGACCAGCTCGGCCCCGGCAGTCGGCGTGAGGTGGCACTGCCCCTAGGCCCCGGCGAGGACGGAGAACTCGACCTGCCCGTGACCGTGTCCTGTGCACTCTTCTACAGCCTCAGGGAGGCCGTGGGTGGTGCCCTTGCCCCTGTGGACTCCTGGGAGGACCCCTCTCTGGACGAGCGTGCACCAAACATCCTCCCTGAGCAGGAAGGCATCTGCCTGCCCCTGAGCAGGCACACGGTGGACATGCTGCAGGGCCTGCGTTTCCCCAGCCTGCTGCCTGCACACGCACAGGTCACCTGCCTGCTGGGCCCTGCCGGCAACCCTGTGGATGCCTTCCTGGACACTCGTCGAGAGCTGGGGCCTGAGCCTGCAGGCCCCACCTCCCCACAGACCAAGGCCCTGTCCCCTTCGGTCGCCTGCATCAAGGTGTCTGCAGAGCTGCTCAGGGCTGCCCTGCAGCATGGTCCCCCAGGTAGGTGGTCCAAGCTGACCCCGCCTCCCCACCACTCCTGGCAGCCCTAGGCAGGCCCCCCACACTCCGTGGGGGCATGAGCATTGTCTGGTCAGCTCACAGCGGGAGCCCTGCCCCTGTGGCTGGCCTGCCTGCCACTTTTTATCTTTTTTTAGTTTATCTTTTTTAAGTTGTCATTTTTAAAATCACGTGGAGGGTGACCTAAATACAGAAAAGCAGACGCGCAGCCAGGGAACCACACGGTGAGCCTTCGCAGAGTGGTACGAAGACCTGGCCCTCGGGGCTTGTGGCCCACAGCGCCACCCGTGTCTGGCCAGCACACCCAGCGCGCTGCTGTGGGCCTGAGGTGCTTGGAGGTGCCCCGAGGCAGGAGCGGCGGTCAGGGTTGCCTTGGGTAGTTCATAGCTCTGGGCGCCTGTGGCTGGGGCGGCTGTCCCCAAGGATGGCCCAGAAATCGGCAAGCCCCCACAGTGAGGCGGCACCCACACAGAGCCATCCTTCAGAGAAGCCAGAGGCCATGTCTCCTCAGCTGGTCATGGCAGTTGGGAGGGAGGCCCTTAGGGTGACCACCCAGGTGCCCACTTGGCTCACCCACCTGAGCTCCCACCGCCTCCCCAGGTGTGCCCCTGTCCTGTGCCACCCTGCAGTGGCTCCTTGCCGAGAACGCCGCCGTGGATGTTGTGAGGGCCCGGGCACTGTCCTCTGTCCAAGGAGTGGCCCCAGATGGTGCAGACGTCCACCTCATTGTCCGAGAGGCAAGCAGGGGCTGGGGACACTGGCCTTCAGGCCAGCAGTTGAATTGGGACCAACTCTCTGAGGGTGACTCCCCCAGGCACCCAAGTGGAGTCTGCTTGGGTCAGGCAGCCATGAAGCTGGGGCCCAGTGTCCACCATGGGGACCCCCACGGTCCCCACAGTAGGTTCCCACAGGCTGGCGGGACTGCCCCCCAGGACCTTAGGGCTGGGCTTGGTGACTGCTCCCTTCTGGAATGTGGTGCTGTGGGCGGCAGGCCTGCAGGGGGTCCTGCAGTTCCGTGGTCAGCACAGCGGTCTCCACGGGAGCAGATTTCTGCGGCTGGGCTGTCCAGCCCACTTCAGGGTGGGGCTGCTGCAAGGCTATGAGGGTCATGGGCAGGCAGTGAGCCTCCCCTGTGCTGCAGGTGGCCATGGTGGACCTGTGCCCAGCGGGTCCCCTCCAGGTCGTGGAGGTCCAGGTGGAGAGCCCGTCTCTGGCTGACCTGTGCCGGGCACACCACGCCATCATTGGGCGCCTGCAGGTGAGCTGGCCTGTGTGAGCAAGTGGGAAGGAGGCCCTGCGGGCCACGGCGCCTGACAGGGCCGCGTGCTCCCCTGCGGCAGCTGTGTAGCATGCAGTCGGGCTGTGGGCAGCGGGAAGCCGCCCTGCATGTGGCTGCTGCTGCGGGCATGCCATTGGCTCTGTCCAGGGCGACCTGAGCCCCGACCCTGTGGCTTCCCATTGGCCGCCTGCTGTGGACCCTGGGACGAGATGTGCTGCTTTCCTGAGCCCCAAGTTTTGGCCAGGACAGTAGAGTCGTCAGCCTACCTGCTGGCAGCTCCAGGGGGGCCCTGGTGCTGTGTCCTGCCCCACTGGGGCCAGATCTCTGGTGAGCATCAAACAGTGCCTGGCTGGGGCGGTTGACTCCACCTGCCAGTCCCAGGGGTCTGCGGTGGCCACCACGAGCTTGCACTGAGTCTGCCATCAGCACGCTCCTGCGTCTGCCTCGCTGGAGACCTGCGGTCGATGTTCCTGGCCACTCGTGACCCTGAGGCCAGAGGACCTTCCACCTGAGGCCAACAGCAGCCCCCAGCACACCACCGTGACTGGGGTGGGAGCCCTGCCCTGGCCCAGTGGCTCCGGCTGCCCCCAGGTGTGCAGGTGCCTGCTCATCACGACCCTGGCGGCCTTGTCACAGTCCCGTGGCTTCGTCCTCGCCTGGTGACCTCACTGCGCTGCAAGCCTCCCGAGACAGAGTCAGCTCGGGGCGCTGTGATGGCCCGCCATGGGCTCAAGTGCCTGGTCTGGGGTCAGGATAACGGGGCAGAGCTCTGCCCCTGCTCCTCTGTGCCCAGGCCCCCTCCTAAAGGACTCACAGGTGGGGTCGGGGCCACCCCGGTAACCTGAGTGGCTGAAGCGCATTTTCCACAAAGACCTCAGTTCCAGATGGCAGTGTTCCATCGGCCTCCCTGTGTGACCAGTGGGCTACAGCTCAGGGGGCTGGGCCCTGCCCAGATGTAGGGCCCACTGTACCCCAGACGGCTTTGTTAGCCCCTAGGGAGGGCTAGGCCTGATACTCCAAGCTGACCTGGGAAGCGGGCAGGCTCCGCTCAGGTGCCTGGGCCACTTCCGTGGCTGCCTCCATGGACACCCATGGGGAGTGGCCTGAACTGATGAAGGTCCCCTGGGGAGGGGGAGTTGGCAGGCAGGGGGAGCCCTGGGAGGAGGGCAGTCCTGGCAGATGGCAGAGCTGAGAACGAGGGACTGGGGGTGCAGCAGGGTTGGGCAGATGGAGGGGCCAGAGGAGGGCCACAGGCCTGCAAGTGCGGGCAAGTGTCCAGTGCCTCTCATGCTCCTCAGACGCTGGTCATGGAGCAGGCCGCGCAAGGCTCCAGCCCCCCTGACCTCCGCGTGCAGTATCTCCGCCAGATCCACGCCAACCACGAGGTGAGGCACTCACACCCTCCTGCTCTAAGGTCACAGACCACCAGGGCAGCTCCCAAGTGTGGCTGTGTGCAGGGCTGGCTCAGAGCTGAGCTAGGCTGCCCCACCTGCAGGTGCTGCTGCGGGAAGTGCAGTCCCTGCGTGACCGGCTGTGCAGGGAGGACGAAGCTGGCTCCCACGCCACTGCACAGAGGCTCCTGCAGGTGTACCGGCAGCTGCGGAACGGAACCCCAGCCTGGTCCTGCTGTGACCCGCCGGCTCCCGCGCCCACTGCCTTCACGGCTTAGCGAAGGCCCCAGGTCACGACAGGTTCACTTCCTCAACTCCTGACTCTGGGAAGCGTGGGCTGGCCAGAGCTGTGGGCGGCCAGTGGCGGGGGCTGGGCCGGACGTGCTAAGAGGAAGCGGTTCTGTCCGGACCCGCACAGGCATCTCTGGACCAGCTGGGTCTGCCTCCCTGCCCAGCAGCCAGCCCTCAGAACTCACCTATTGCCGCTGGGCAGGCTTCTTGCCCAGGTGGTTGGGCAGGCTATGAGAGGCCCGACCCTGCCCCTGTGGAGTCAAGGCCCAGGACTCGGGGGGTCCAGCCCCCCAGAGGGGAGGCCAGGGGGAAACGGTCTCGGGTTGGGACTTGGGGTGGCTTTACAGCCATCCCTGCTACTACACTGCCAAGGGCAGCAGTGCCCACTCGGGTCACCACACCTGAGGGTGCTCCCCACGACCAAAGCACAAAGACCCGATGGGGCTTCTGCAAGTGCCCGTGGCATTGTGCCACACCACGCAGGAGCCTGTTCCCAGGCCAGTGTGCCCAGTGCCGGCGGCTCGTCCGGGCCCATGCCCAGCTCTGCCCCAGCCCATTCCTCCCTCAGCCTGGGTGCTGCCCAGGCCGGTGCTTCAGGGAGGACAGGCCGCGCGGAGCGCGGTGCAGGTGCTATGTGTGACAAGCAACCTTACTGCCGAACTTTGGCCCCTGCTGGTTTCTTACGACCTAGGTCCCCGCTTGCCTCTCCAGGCTCCATTGGTCTCAGAGTGACATGTCCCCATAGCACCACCTCCTTTACTTGGTGCTCCGGCCAGTGAAGTCTGCCTGCTGCATCACCCCTTTTGGGGACAGGGCCTGTCCGGCCAAGGCCACCCACAGCCGTTCTCCAGGGCAGTCCTCGTGTCATCTCCCTGGGGATTGACCGCCACGGGGAGGATGAATGGCCAGCCCCAGCCCTTGAAGTTTCCTAGTGTGGGTTTACGCACTGGTTAGGGACGGGCGTGGAGAGAGCACCACACACGCTTGCACACGAGCTGGCACAGATGGGCCCCTCCAGGGCAGCAGAGGCTGCAGGTGCAGGCCCACACCCACCTGCCTGGGAAAGGAAGGGTCCCAGAGGCTGCCAGTCTGCCCCCGCCCTCCCCCAACGCCTTCCCACTCACCATCCCAGGTCTTGAGGACCCTTGGAACTGACAGGCCTGGGCCTGCTGGGCTCCCCTCCCCCGAGTCCGACCGGATGCCAGCCAGTTGCAGCCCAGGAGTGTGAGACATCCCAAAGGGCCCCTGTCCACCCTCAAGCCAGAGCAGTCAGAGCGAGGCCTCCCAGCACTCCAGGCCCCCAGGCGGTAACAGTTGCCCACCCTCTGCTCTGGCCCTTGGGGTTCTCCAGGAATCCAGGCCAGTCTGAAGATGGCCTCCTCAGGAGAAGCAGTCTGCTGCCCGCCAGCCTGAGGACAGCCATGCATGGACGAGGGTGGAGGTTAGGGGTCACCTAGGATCCCAGGAGGAGCTGAGAGGAAAGGCTAGAGAGGGCCCCAGCAGGCGGGAAGGCGGGAGCCCCAGGTCTGAACCCACCA